GGCGCCGCCCACGCATCGCGCATGCAGCACCCGGCGTGCACCGCGAGCAGGTCAAGGGAGCGCAGGCTCTCGGTACCGATCCGCCCGTACGACTCGAACGCGACCAGGAAGACGTTGCATCCGTACCTCGCCCGCTTGTCTTGAGCCGCCGCAGACGCGGCTTCGCCCAGGCGCTCGCCTGCATGCACGTAGCGGCCGGCGTGCGGGCACCTGAAGGCGACGTCCACGTAGAGCGGCTGCACAGAGCCCATGTCTGCAGAGCTGCGGATGGCGCAAGGTGGGATCCAGCATCGGCGTCACCCCAACATACTAATACTTTATGTGTGCGTCGCCCCCTCTTGGGCGACTCGCGCACCGATGAATCTTATAGTATAAGCTCCTTGGCGGGCGCTGTCTGGCTATACCGCTCGTGAAACGATATATACATAATATATATATATATATATATATATTCCAAGATGCTTGGATTATTCGTTCGGGTCGGACGTGCGCCTCCAATGGTGACATATAGAACTAGTATGTCCTTGTGCGTCCCACAGCACCTGCCCGCACACCTCGCAATCACCACCCTCCGCACGGCGCGGCATGCGGCAGCTGGCGCCCCAGATGACGCTCAGGGCTCCTAGGCGGCGAAGCGTCGCAGCCTGGATGTGGGTGGCAGGGAAGCACTCGTCCTGTCACGCTGGGAGCTGCATCCGGGTCGCACCAGCGCCAGGACCACCGGCAGACAGCGAACCCTCTTGCCGCTCAGAGCCGAGGCGCTCCCAGAGCCTCCTCGCAGTGAGCGCATCCACGTGACACGGAACGTCCTGCTCGCAAATCGCCGTGGCAGGCGAGCTTGCCCCGCGCCGTGCGGGACGGAGGGCAAAGACGGCTGCGGCACCGCCTGCAGGGCGCCAAGCTGACAAACCTCTGCGTCCGCAGACCATGGGCCCGCCTCGAACTTCGGAGGAGGAGAGGGCACTTGGAGCGCGTTGCTTAGTTCGTTCGGGGGGTCAGAAAAACAAGCGTTCAGAGGGTCAGTGGGTGGTCGTTCGCGCCGCAGTGCTCTCTGCGATGGCAGGGGTGGCCAGGCCATGGGCGGCCACTGCGAAACGCGTCGCGAGCAACGAAGCCGACGATGGGGTGATTGTACTTCGATGGGTAGGGAGTGGACAGCGAAGGGGGAATGGGGGGGGTGGGGGGAGGGGGAGGATGCGGAGCGCGAAGAACGCAAAAAGGAGAAACGACGGAGGGAACACAACATTGACTTGGGTCCCGTGCTCGGTCTCATGTGTGATATTGTGTGCTTCTCTCTACCTAGTCTCAGTTGTAGCATGTTCATCCACCGCAAGGCTTTGTTCGTCATGTAGCGCGTGATTGCGCGGCCTCGCTGCCCCCTGCAACGTCGCCGTAGGTCAGGCACGAGCGCGCAGCAAGAGGTAGGCTAATGCTTTTGTTAGGTTCGGGGCATATGGCCCCGCGTTGCAAAGGCAACCTAAGATCTGGCCGAAGCGGCCGATGGCGCCGTGGGCTTGCACCGCGTACCCTCTGATGGATCACGCCGTCAGCATCGCGCCGCCTCGCCATCAAAATCCCTCCCTCCCTCCCTCCCTCTCTCCCTCCCCCTGCCCTTCCCTGTGGTATCCCTCCCTTTCTCTCCCCTTTGCTTTTTGCGGCCGACGAGGGGCGGAGGTGCGGGGGGCGGGGCAGGGCGGGCGCAGGGGCGGGGAGGGAGGAGGCCAGGGGAATGGGAGGAGGATGACAGCGGTCGGACGAAGAGGGGGTGCGGGGAGCGGGGCGGTCGCACTGCGCGGGAGGGCGTTCTGTCTCCCGCGGGGCGCCTTCCCGCAGGTCAGTCGGGACGGCGTTTACATACAGACCTTCCGCCGCCTCCTTTTTCGAGCCGGGTTCACGCACCTTCCGCCGCCTCCACGCCAGCTTTCGGGAGGGCTCCCCGCGGGAGGGCGTTTTTCGAGCCGGGTTCACAGACCTTCCGCCGCCCCCCCGGGCGAGCCCTGCCCATGAGGGGTCGCTCAGGGATCGCGCGGTTTTCGAGCCGGGCTTACAGACCTTCCGCCGCGTCGGGCTGGACAACATTTTTCGAGCCGGGTTTACGCACCTTCCGCCGCCCCGATGTCGGTTTTCGGAACGGCGTTCCAGGACTCGCGGAACCTGGTTCCGCCGCCCTCGGGGGGGCGGCGCGCCTCCGTCCAGGCGGCATCGGGGGAGAGGTGCAGGGGCGCGGCTCCACGGGCACTGCGGCGACAGCCAGAGGGGCCTCGGATCTCCCACGGGGCACGCGTGGGGGGAGCGAGGGACGGGGAGGAGGAGGGCCGAGTGTCGGGTAGCATGTGGTTTGTGCTCGCACGAAAGTGGGGGGCTGGAGGGGATGGCGGGGACGGGTTGGGGGTGGGGCGACGACGATGACGAGTAGTTGGATGGGGTAGGAGGAGGAGGAGGACAAGGAGGAGGAGTAGGAGGAGGAGGAGGAGGAGGAGGAGGAGGAGGAGGAGGAGGAGGAGATAGGAGATAGGAGAGAGGAGATACGAGCGGGGAGATAGGAGAGAGGAGGAGAGGAGGAGGAGGGCGGCCCAGCGCAGCAATAACAACGCGGAACATCTCATTGGGAATCGCACAAAAATGCGAAAGCGAGGGTAATGGAGCAGGAGACGAGCAGAGGACAATGAGCAAGCGCAGGACGAAGAGGATGCGCAACCGTGGCGCCAAGGCCAACATCAACGCTGCAATTTATGTACGCACACATGTAGCCGCGGGGCTTCGCCATGAACGCCTTGATGCTACTATCGCGCGCGTAGCAGAATTGCTCCGCCCGCTCTGCTTTCAGCCTTCTCGCAAACCCGAGTCCATGCGAATTTGGCCTGCGAGTTGGCGCGCTCGGTCGCCGCCGAACGCGACGTGGAACGGCGTTCCGAAAACTTGGGAAAGCCTTCCCGAACAGCGTTCATTGGACCCCCCCAAACATACCACCCCCCGAACGCACTAACTGCAGCGGCCCAAGGCACCCATACCGCTACCTTTCCCTCGCTTTCCCCTTGTTGGGTCTCTTGGGAGGCCCTCGCCGCCACCGCTGGATTCGCTTTGAAATCTTGGTCAGAACGCACCCCAGCTCGGTTTCCCCAGTATTCCTGCCGCGCCGCATCCGCGAACCGCACGCCGCCATCAAGTGTGACTTCGACTCCTGCTGCCGCCAGCCTGCCCCGCGCGCCCAGGGCTTCAGCCTCCCCGGAGCACGACCGAATCCGTGCGCCCAAGCTTGTTGCCAGGAGCGGGAAGGGGGGCCTGCATCACGGTCCAAGTTGCCTAGAGCGCACCGTCTGCCATGAGGCCCTCGGCTTCGCGCGGGAGCCCGATGCCGCCGCAGCTGCCGCAAAGGCGCGCCTGGGCCAGGGAATCTTCACCGTGATGCTTGCCGAGGATCGCGCTGATCATGACCTCCTCGATTTTGCTGCACACATGCTCGGCCACATCGCCCAGAAGCGGGGAGGGTACTACGCGTGCGGCGTACGAAAAAGCATCTGCAACTGACTTCGAAAGCATGCGTCAGTCGAGGTGGGCTGCTGTGGCGGCGGGCCGGGCGACCGTGAATTCCCGGATGCGTTCTGCGAAGGCCGACGTCTTCGTAGCCCTGCCGCAGGCGGGCCCGAGCAGCGCACCTCCAGCATGGATCTCCACCGCGAGCACCCCAGGGAGTCCCCCAAGAGAGCCCCAGAGGCCTCCAAGGTGGCCCCAGGAGGCACCCCAGGCGGCGGTCCCGGAGGCCTCCGGGACGCCCCAGCAGACCTCCACGAGCGCTCCCAGGCCACCCCGGGAGCCAAAATTCATGGACCTCTACACTTTGAATGATTGTCGGGCTCTCGCCGAATCGGTTTCCCCACGCTCCAACAGAGCCCCAGAGGCTCCAAGGCCGCCCCCAACAGTACCGAGCGCCTCGCCCCGACACAGGGCGCCGCGCCTCCAGGGACTCCCAAGGCGCCCAGGAAGGATCCCTGATACAAACATGCAAGCACGCATACAGGCATACATACACACGTACACATATGCACATGTATGTGTAGTTGTATATGCATAGTGTAGATATATCTAAATGTGCCTGAACATGTATATGTATATGTATGTGTGAGTGTGTGTGTACGTGATTATGTTTAGGTATACGTATATGTAAGTGCATACGTATACGTATATATTTATACATGTGTATATGCTTATGTATTTGATTATGAATATGCCTATGCGCATGTGGGTGTGTATGCATATGTTGGGGTAGATGAAGCTGTGTGCATACACCTGTGGTTATATACGTATATGTATATGTAGATGGTTATGCACATGTACATGCTTATGCACATGTATATACAGTTAGGTTGATGTATATGTTTATATGTGTAGTTGTGCATGTATATGGTCATGTATATCTACATACAAACATACACATAACCATACATACATACATACATACGTGCATGAACACATACATGCATTTATACACAGTTACCTACTTACATACATACGTACATACATATATATATATATATATATATATATATATATATATGTATACATACATACATACATGCACACGCACACATACATGATACATGTATATATATATATATATGTAAACACATGTGTGTACGCATCTATATATATAGATCGAGCGGGACACCCTCTTAGATTTCTCCCCTTCTTTGAGCCCTCCCCCCTCCGCGGCCACCCGACCTCCCCCCCGGCCGCCCAACAATTCCAGTGCGGAGCGAATAAGTGCGCAACCGTACCCCAGAGCAGCCTGAACATTTCCAAGATGGCTCAAGATGGTCAAAATAGCTTCCTGACGAACTCAGGGTGCCTGGATAGCTGTCAGAACCTCCCCAGAAGTCAAGATTCACTGATGCCCCATGGGTTTTGGCATGGGTTTCACAACTTTGCTTTTCTGTTCCTCATGGTGTCTTCGACGGGCCTTGGGGACCACCCCGCAGTTCCAATCTGGCCAAAAATGTTTCCAAAAGGGTCCCAAAAAGAACCAAAGAGAGTCCGTAGCCATTTTGGCTCAAGACGCGGCCCAAGATGTTAACATCCTTTTAGCACAGAGGCTTCACCGTCCGCATCTACAGCATGGTCAGAATCGGCCCAGAGCCAACACCAGGTTCAACCATCGGCCGCCCGAACACTGTAGCTGCTAAGAGCGCGGCCCGACCGGCAGGGATTGTGAGACATATGGCGCCCACGGGGGACAGACATTTCATGCCCTGGAGCAGCAGCAGCCACGATGCAGACCAGGAGGCGATGGTGTACAATGCTGTTTCGATCACCCCCCGTGTGATGCAATACTTTTCCGAAGAACCAGAAGCCGGTCTTGGTCAAGGCAATGCTAGCTCGGGCGAGCTCATTTCCAAGCAGCGACTGCAGGCGCTGAGGCACGGGCATGCGAAGCTTCAGTGGCGCCTGTGCAATCCCCTCAGAGACAGCCGCTTGGCTCGGTCTCTTTGCGGGTTGTCCGTGTATGCCTCTGTAGCGGTTTTGGCGCTCTCGTGCCTCACTGTGGCAGCTTGCTTCTGGACATCGCACGCCGCCACTCCCAAGCGGCCGTTGCAGGTAGGCAGCGACATCCCACTCGTCGCTTGCGAGGGCGGCCGCAGGGGCAGCCGGGAGCTGAGATCCTTGCTGTTGAGCATCGATACGCCAATGTTCATCTTTGTTGCTATTTGGCACATCCTTGCCATGAAAAACCTCACAAATTGGGTTTCGTCCCCTTCTGGCACCTCGGCCACATGGGCAATCGGTATGCTTGGCACCGCGCTTACCATCGCTGGCTGCATCGTGGTTGGGATTCGGGATCCTGCCGAGGTTTGGGGCACCAAGGGTTCTGTCGGCTTCGCGGGCATCTGGGTGGGGGTCCAGAATGCTACCGGCATTTGTTCCTTGGCCTGGAGGTTGACTCGTGGGGATCGGGAATGCCGCATCGTGCAGAGCAGGACCTCTGCTGCACATTTTGCGTTTATCCTCTTTTCCTCCGCGACCGCGATTCAAGGCTGTTACTACATCGTGGGGTTCTTCGAATTCTCGGGCCTCCCACCAGCCATTGGTCTTTCTTGCCTCTTTGCCGCCACTTTCGCGGTATTGTCCAGCATCAAGGCCGTCCTACGGCAATGGAGTAGAGTGCCACCTCTTGCTTGTACGTTCATGTTGTATTGTTTTCAGGCTGGAGCATACACGAGCTTCCGCCTAGTCTTGCAGACGGAGGAGAGTATTGACATGCTCGTTGGTTTGACAATCACCGCTGCGGTATCAGAGATTGTGTTGCGGGCCAGTGTGGTGTGCACAGGGAAACTCATGTACAACTACTACGTGGAGAAGGGCCAGGCTGCCATGGCTCTACGCGTGCTGGATGTGCATGTTGCCACCGTGTTAGTTGACATCTTGGCAGAGTGGGCAGCGATCGCGATTGCTGGGGTCCTCGGTGTAGCTGTCGATGAGACCATCTTCGACGGCTTGCGATCAGTCTATTCTGCCGATGGTTTTATTGGCATGATGGCTTTGCAGATTGGCGTAGAAGTTCTGGCAGATGTGACGTCGGTCGCGATCGCGTTCGCGATTCTCCCTGTCAGCCTGGAGGGTGTTTTTGCTTCACGTGGGCATCTGTTGTTACAGATATCGTGTGTCCTTGTTGCACCCATATTCCTTTTCGCCATGCTGAACATGCGAGTTCGTATCGAGTGCTTCACCTAGTGAAAGACTCGGGCATCAGAGCCATCATCCACGGATCCAGATGAATAGTCGCCGAAAGAGGAGGAGGAGGAGGAGGAGGAGGAGGAATTGGAGGCCTGGTTCTGGTTTTGGTTTTGGTTTCTCTGAGTCGTGCATGTACTCCGAGCTTATCGATTCGGGCCCGTGTTAAGCGGTGATCCTCTTCCTCCCTCTTGCCTGGTACAGTGCTGTACTCAGAACGCTCGCTTCTGCGTGACCTCTGACAGTCTGTTTCAGAAGCAGTCCCTGTGCTTCTTTGGTTGCCCGAGCTCCGCTGAGAGATTCTGGCACTACTGGATGTGCGACATTTTTGTTTCGACCCTAGCTTTTACGTCATGTAGCTGGCCACCCCCATCGATTCCGATCCTCTCGCCCGCTTTGGCGTGCTCACCTCCTACCCCGTCGCCGCCTGTTTGAAGCTATCCGTCTTCACCCTTGCGCCACCCAGCCAATCGTTCCGCCTGAAATGAGTTCAGGTGCGGTCAGTGCCCTGCATCCTTGGGCTCCTGCTACGACGGATGGGCCAGGGAGGTGTCGATGGATGCGTGCTCCCTGATATCCTTCGCAGGAGAGAGACAGCACGAAGGGAAAGTGTCCTGCAGGTGCTTCATCGGTTTCGGGCTCCATGGGGCCTCCACCTTCCCTGGGGCCGTCAAAAAGACGGTTCGGGTAAAGAGCTAGGGAAAGCCCAGGGGACCAGGGCGAGATTTTTTATGCCAGCGATGATGGGGGCCGGGCCATACCCCGGGCCTGCGCCCCCCTCGTGTGCCGGGATGGGATCGATTCCCTCAGACGCGCCCTTTGTCAGCCGTGGCCGCCAGGCAGCGGGCTGTGTGCACTGGAGCGCGCCTTTTGAATGCTCCCCGTCGCGCCGCTCGGGCCTCCTGCACGAGCGGCGCGGGCGTGGCAGCCGCCGGACCTCCCCTGACTCTTCCGCCCGCCCCTCCCGCCATGGGACCACCAGGTCTTTTCAGGGACAACGTCGGGGGGGGGGGATATAGAGGGCGAACAAGCAAGGATATGATGTTCTCTTCTGTGGTTTGAGTTGTAGAGTCAGCGGGCGCAGGACGTCGAAGTCCATCGGACGACATGCGAGTCTATTGATTCGGAGCCTGGCATGACAGGTCACACTCTTTCATAGCCAGCAGCGGTACTGTTTATCCGTTGCGGTCTTGCGTGCCACCTGTTCGGTAACAGAAGCATTGCGGTCTGTGACATTACTTTTTACGTCTCGTTGTGCCTCGCCAGTTCTGTAGGGCACTTCTAGCTGAGTACGGTTGTCTGCAACGCAGCAAAAATGAAATTGCCCCATTGGCGAAGCTGTCGGGGCCCGCGCGATCCTGCTTTTGAGTCAGCAGCAAGACAAGGACGAGCACACAGCAGGCAGCGTGCAGAACAGAAGGGCAGAACAAAGGGCTCAAAGAGAGCCCCAAGCCGCCCCCGAGAGGGGCTCGAGACGGCACGAGAGGGCCCTGGAGGGCGGAGGGGCGCAAGGCGGCTCAAGAGATCCAAGAGGGGCGCAAGACGACCCACGGCCGCAAGACGGCCACAAGACGCCCCCAAGAGGCGCCCATAAAGGCAAGACGACCCAAGAGGCCCCGAAGCTGGCCGAAAATGGCCCCCAGAGGCTTTCAAGATGACCCTGGAGGCCCCCACACACGGCTCCCAAACTCCAAACCACTTAAGGCGGCATTCCCAGCATGCGTCCAAGAAGCTCCGAGACGGCTCGGAGACTGCGAAGTCCGCAACCACACACTCTAGACCCGTGAGTTGAAAGGCCAGGGGGCTCTCGAACAGAGGTCCCCAATTCTGCCTAAGAGGAGTCCCTATGGCCTGGAAGCTGTCCCAAGAGTCCCCCGAGAAAAGCCAGTGCAATCTGAAGGCAGCCCCAAACAGGTTTCCAGCCAGTCCGACTGGCCTCCTAGCTGAGGTCGACGTTACGAGCCATTCCCCTAAGTAGCGCCTGCATTGTAGGTTCTTACTTGCCCGTACAGAAATTGAGCAACGCCAGAAAAAGAGTCGCCTTCGCCGACATTGGCGCGTAAGCTGCCCGCGTAAGGTCGCGCGTAAGCGCCCTCGACTTTAATGTGGCGTGCCGCGCTGGTGGCCCGCGTAAGCCGCGGCGTAAGGAGGCCATGCCATCTCGCGAAAGACCCGTTTTTGATCGTCGCTTACTTGTCTCTCCTTGTTTCGATTCCTCTTCTGCGGTACCCAACTCCTGCCTGCATCAGCTGTCGCGTATCGCCAGAGAATTTTCGGCAAGGCACATGCACGGCATCTCACAAGGGCGGCCCGAGAGTGCCGAAATTAGAATCAAGTCGGGCCTGTCCCTCTACAGGTGGAATGCTCAAAAATAGTCAAAAATAGTCTGGGGACGAGTTTTAAAGCATTCTTTGACCATTTTGGGGTATGTTTGGACCAACCTTCACTTTTCGTCCGAAACCCACCTGCAGGAGGACAGGCCCGACTTGAAATTAGAATTCTGGGCCCGGCAGGGCCCGGCACGTGGGCGGCACATGCCCGCATCACGTTGCAGAGGTGTCGGTGCTGATGGATTTTCTGGCATCGCAGAACGCAGGCACGGCACGCGGGCACGCAGACACGCCACGGCACGGCACGTGCTTCGCATCCTTGTGTGAGGTCGGGCCTGTCCCTCTTCAGGAGGAATACCCAAAAAATAGTAAAAAGATAGTCTGGGAACGATTTGTTTGATATTTTTTGTCATCTTGGGCTATTTTTGGACTATTTTTCTTCGTCGTCCAAATTCCGCCTGTAGGGGGACATGCCCGACCTAATTCTTGTGTTCAGGACCGCCTTTCGTTGCTCAGGGAAAAAGCCATCCCAAAGTCCCAAGCGGTCGCTGAGAGAGCCCCCAGAAGGCCCCCCAAACGGCTCTCCGACGGCGCAGTAGAAGCCGAAGTGTCCAGCCTTGTGCGGAAGGGGGGGGGGGGACGAATGGCACCGACGTCCTCTTCCACTTCCGCCTCCCTCTACGTCCGCCTCCCTTTTCGTCCGCCTTCCTCCTCAGCTGTCGCCCTGAGCAGATGCTTTCGCACTGCGCCGATTTTTGCATGTTGTGTGGCCGCCCGTGGTTCTAGTGCTTCAATCTATATACGGAATGAATAAAGTAGGGCTCCTGGGGCCCTGGGCCTGCCACTTCCAGAACACCTAGGTTCATGTTTCAATGCTTCCCAGGTTCGCCTCCAGGAGGCCCCCACGACAACCCAGGAAGGCCTCAGAACCTCAAGACAGTCCAAGAGGGCCCAATATGCGCCCAAGAGAGCCACAGAGTGCCTGCGAGATGGCACAATATGGCCCAATATGACTCAGGACATCTGCCAAGATGCTTTCAAGGGGACCGGCACCGCCTCCAGGCGGTCCTACGTGACTGCTGAGCATCCCACGGAAACCCTGGAGAGGCACAAATTGTTCAATAACCTGTACACGTGCATATATGTATAATTTTGTGTGTGTGTGTGGGAATCTATATGTATATCTATATGTGTGCACGTGTGTATTTGTTGTCCTTTCCCCGTTTCGCCTCCTCTGGGTCACTTCGGGCACGTGAATCCCAACATGGACCAAGAGAGCCCCAAGAGGAGTCAAAAACGGCCCAACGACCGCACAAGAACCCCCCCCCAAATGTGCTTTAGAAGGACCCCGGGAAGATTGGAAAGGTTTCCAAATCGGGCCCAAGAATGCCCAGGGAGGCTCCAGTAGCAATTTTGGCTCAAGCTGCTAGTCTGCAGCAGAAGTTTGCGCACCGGATCTGGGACTGTTGTTTTGGGTTGGACAGGCGCGTTTTGGCGGTCGCTGGACTGGTGTGCGCGGCCGTGGTCTGGATTGGTCCAGCGCGGCAAGCACAGACAGGTCAGCGGCGCCTGCCAGCCTGCTGCTGGGTCTTCCCTGTACGGCCGCATGCGCGAGGTCAGGAATATCCAAGACCGGCTGGGGCCGAAGTCCAGCAAGCCGCTGAAGCACCTCGTCACCCGCTCATAGCGCGGCGCGCTTCTCAGCGGAGGTGTGCGCGCGCGCAGGCCCCCTCCGCCATTTTGGCGTTGGCGCGGGCGGGCTGCGCCTTTCCGCAGCCCCGCGGCTGCCCAACAGGGGCGCCCTGTGCGCGCGGCACTTGCGGAACTCCGCGAGGCTGCCGTCTTGGGCGGTCGAGCTGCGGCTCCCTCGAGCGGGCGGTGCTCGCAGCGAGCGCCGCGCTGGGAGCTCCATCGGAAGCCCCAGTGGGCGTGATCGCATGCGCCCGCGCCACCCAGCACAGCGTTTCGCGGCCCCATATGGAGTCGAGGTGGCGAGGGCGACCGCAAGGCGGCGAAACCGACAGTCAGGCTCAATTCTGGAAAGCGAAGTAAGAGCCCCAAAGTGCAAACATTGTTTGATTGATAGTGCGCCACGTGTATTCTTCCGTCGCCATTTTGGCTCAAGTGGCAATATCGGAAAGAGCGCGTTCTGTGGTCGCTTGGAGGGGGGGGGGGTTGAAACCGGACGCCCCCCTCCTCCCCCCCTCCCGTGACGGGGGAGTGGTGGGGTTCGACCCCCCCATCCCTCCCCTGCTTCCCTTCTCCGACGATTTCCATTTCTGGGCCGCGCCGGCGCCTGCGGCGGCGGGCGGAGGTGGCGGGGAGCGTCGACGAGGACGACGGTGGTGGTGGTGGTGGTGGTGGTGGTGGTGGGTTGTGGTGGTGGTGGTGGTGGGGGTGGTTGTGGTGGTGGTGGTGTGGTGGTTCGTTGTGGTGGTGGTGGTGGTGGCGGTGGGTGGTGGTGGTGGTGGTGGTGGTGGTGGTGTGGTGGTGGGTGGTGGTGGTGGTGGGTTGGTGGTGGTGGTGGTGGTTTGGTGGTGGTGTGGTGGTGGTGGTGGTGGTGGTGGGTTGCTGGTGGGTTGTGGTTGTGGCGGTGGTTTGTGGATGTGGTGCTGGTGGTGGTGGGGGTGGTGGTGGTGGTGGTGGTGGTGGTGGGGGTGTGGTGGTTTGTGGTGGTGATGGTGGGTTGTGCTGCTGGTAGTGGTGGTGGTTGTGGCGGTGGTCGTGGTGTTGTTGGTCGATTGTGGTGGTGGTGGTAGTGGTGGTGGGTTTTTGTGGTGGTGGTGGTGATGGTGAGTTGTGGTGGTGGTGGTGGTTGTGGTGCTGTTGGTGGTGGTGTGGTGGTGGTTTGTTGTGGTGGTGTGTTGGGTTGTGGTGGTGGCGGTGGTTTGTGGACGCTTGGTGGTGGTGGTGGTGGTGGTGGTGGTGGTGGTGTGGTGGTTTGTGGTGGTGGCGGTGGGTTGTGCTGCTGGTAGTGGTGGTGGTTGTGGCGGTGGTGGTGGTGTGGTAGTGTGGTGGTGGTGGTAGTGGTGGTGGGTTTTTGGTGGTGGTGTGGTGGTGATGGTGAGTTGTGGTGGTGGTTGTGGTGGTGGTGGTGGCTGTGGTGGTGGTGGTGGTTGTGTGGTGCTGTTGGTGGTGGTGGTGGTGGTGGTGGTGGTGTGGGTGGGTGGTGGTGGTGGGTGGTGGTGGTGGTGGTGGTGGTGGTGTTGGTGGTGGTGGTTTGGTGGTTGGTTTGGTGGTGGTGTGGTGGTGGTTTGTGGTGGTGGTGGTGGTGGGTTGTAGTGGTGGTGGTGGTGGTTTGGTGGTGGTGTGGTGGTTGGTGGTGGTGGTGCTGGTGGGTTGTGGTTGTGGCGGTGGTTTGTGGATGTGGTGCTGGTGGTGGTGGGGGTGGTGGTGGTGGTGGTGGTGGTGGTGGGGGTGTGGTGGTTTGTGGTGGTGATGGTGGGTTGTGCTGCTGGTAGTGGTGGTGGTTGTGGCGGTGGTCGTGGTGTTGTTGGTCGATTGTGGTGGTGGTGGTAGTGGTGGTGGGTTTCTGTGGTGGTGGTGGTGATGGTGAGTTGTGGTGGTGGTGGTGGTTGTGGTGCTGTTGGTGGTGGTGTGGTGGTGGTTTGTTGTGGTGGTGGTGTTGGGTTGTGGTGGTGGCGGTGGTTTGTGGACGCTTAAAGTGGTGGTGGTGGTGGTGGCGGTGGTGGTGGTGATGGTGTGGTGGTTTGTGGTGGTGGCGGTGGGTTGTGCTGCTGGTAGTGGTGGTGGTTGTGGCGGTGGTGGTGGTGTGGTAGGTTGTGGTGGTGGTGGTGGTAGTGGTGGTGGGTTTTTGTGGTGGTGGTGGTGGTGGTGGTGATGGTGAGTTGTGGTGGTGGTTGTGGTGGTGGTGGTGGCTGTGGTGGTGGTGGTGGTTGTGTAGTGCTGTTGGTGGTGGTGGTGGTGGTGGTGGGTTGAGGCGGTGGTGGTGGTGGTAGTGGTGGTTGTGGTGGTGGTAGTGGTGGAAATGGCACAACCTGTATTGCACCATTTTGATTTCACCACATAGGTTGCACTCCATCTATCGCGCCACACATGTTGCACC